ATACCCAAAGCCTTGAAGAAATAAGTAGTCCATTTTTTACTGTCATGCGTGGCCCACACACGGCACCGAAAGAGTTTGGCTCCTTCAGTGCATCTCAGTACATGCAGCAGTGCTGGTCGAATCATTGTGAGCAGTTCTCGAGCAGCTCGGAGTAAAAACCTTAAACAAATCCTGCACATTTTAGGCGATGTTGAACTTGCGACATCCGGCCTCACGTCGCAGCAGCTGTTGGAGATCCAGCTGCAAACTGGAATGAACATCCAAGTAGTGCTACACTTCTGCTACGTTGCACAATGATGCGCCATTTGCGTATGTATTGGCTTTTCGTGTTCTCAAGGAGACGGCTCATCACTGGAGATGTCCACAGACGAGCTGTGCCCACGGTCAGATTTCACCAGAGGGCCTACTGCCCTGAATGCGGGAAACATGTCATGCAGGGTGACGTAGAGACGATGCGTGAAGCTTGCACGCGCATGTGGCGGAAGTTCATGAGGCAGCTGAGCTGCATCAGCATTACAAATAGCATGCTGTAAACCCAGAGATTCAGGCAGATTTTTACGCAAGATTGGGAATTTGGATCAGGTTGGACGATGCTCACTGTCCACTTTTCCGCGTTTGCGACGTGAAGACCAAGGAGGGAGCTGAGCCAAAGCTTTGGGAGCCGATGCCCTACATCAAGGGCCGCTCGTAGCGCAGCGGAAAAATGGGACCATTAGAAATTTCTTCTACTTGCAAAACTTCAGGATGCTCAGGGCGGAAAGGGGTTCAGCTAGTTGCTTCCAGCTTGACGCTTGAGAGCTGCAGCCTTCTCAGAGCAGAGAGGGGGTGAAAAGGGCTGGCCCCCGCCGAGCGCTTCGTGGCCATGGCGGGGCACTCGGAGAGGGGTGAACTTGGAAGTTGAATGCTATGAAGGCTGAGGGACCAGCTGCACTGCAGGCCATAGCGAGCCTAGACGAGTTTGTGGAGAAGGGCCAGTTGGAGTGTCTGAACGAAGACAAGGAAGATGTTGGGGGAGATGTAAGAGGAGAGTAGGAGTGTCTTCTGTAAATCTCCTTTTTGAGGCCCACCCGGTGCTGAACGTCCTGGATCCCAGCCCAGAAACAGCCCTTCACTCGGATGAGAACGTGGACCACCAGCTGCTGCTCAAGGCGTCAAAAGCAAAGAACACAAAGAACACTGGAGCATTTTCTGAAGGGCCTTGAAATCAGGTTCAGTTCCGGGTGCCCGTGAAGCTCCAGAGTGTACGGATTCTGGGCTCTTCTGAGGTGCGTGGCCTGGGACTCTGGGACTCTGGGACTGGGAGGACCTGACAGGTTTCATGTTATCATGGACTTGTCGCATCCAGGACGGCACTGCGCCGCAGGTGCGGCTCGTGCTGGTAACTGAACCGAAGTTACATGTCCAAGCTGTCCAAGTACTTTTTTCCTGCCAGTCTGTGAAGCTCTTCCTGGACAAGGCCTGATGGCACGTGTGGCACGCTCGAAACATGAAAGCCGTTGTTTGAGGGCTTGCGGTTTAGGACTGTGCTTGTGAAAGCTGCTTGTGGAGGTGAACATGGGCTTCGATGATGCAGACGAAGATCCTGTGCAGGAGAGGGGGAGGAGAGGAAGAGGAAGAAAATGAAAAGAGTCGAGTTGGCCAGAGGAACTCTTGCTCGGTCCAGAGAACGTGGATGGCGGCGAGCCGTGTCAGCTGCGTTTTGTGAAGTTCCAGAACGTCTCAATCTTGGATTTTTCTTGGCTTGGCTTAATTGCTTTGCAACCTTTAACGCAGTGTCAGCACTTTCCGCCTGAGGTGTCGAGCTTGCAGATTTTCTTCCAGGACATTAGCAACAATTGAATTGGTGACTGGACATAGTTGGCTGATGTCAGGAGAACTTTGGGGCCCCTGTGACGAGGCGGAGGGGCCGGAGGGGCGCGTTTTCTATTGCTATGACGACTTTGAGTATTGACGTCTCAAAGTCCAGGGTGAGCCGATTGGAGTTTCTGGGCCAGCCAGCCTCCAGCATGGACATGAAGGCCTTCTTAAGCTTAGATTTACATTCTGAAGCTCCATGTTTTCTCTTTCTGGTTGGGAGGACTGGAAGCCGGTGAAGGGCTGACGCTAAAAGCCAGGCGCTGAGGGAGAGGAGAGGAGATTTTTTGCAGATCAAGCGATGCAGAGGTGCAGAGCTGAACTGAAGCGCTTCTGGAAGAGGCCTCTTGAGGCCCTTTCCTGATGAATCTTTGAGCAGCTCACTCTCGCCAGGTGACGGCGGCATGTTGTGACGCAGAAAGCATTTTCAGAAAGCATGGCAGAAAGCATGGCAGTAGCATGTCATGGCAGCCGTGACGGCTTTTTGGGCTTCTGCTGATGCGGCCGCCTTTTGAGCCATGGAGCGTGCAGGTCTCACGGCACGAACGCGGCGCACCGCGTGGAGTGCAGCTGTGCGAAATTGTGCGAAAAAAAAAAAAAAACCTGTCAGGATTGTCAGGGTTAGGTCGCCTGAGGTTTGGGGCTCTGCAGCGGTCGCTCCCGGGCTCTC